AGTGCGTCTCTTGAGATCAGGGGAGTGAGGTTTACCTGCACAGCACCTACCGCTGGCCTCCGTTACACTCACCCCTCTAAAGCCTCACTCCCATCCGGGTCACGGCACCAATGTAGTGGTACACTGGTACGTCAAGAGAAGAATGATTTCACTCAGACTACGACACAATGAGCTATTGTGAAGGCAAGGCCTTGTGGGATAGATCAGGGGTTACTCTCTCCCGGGTCCTCACCGCCACACCTCGTTCTCGCTCCGTGTGGGTCTCGAACCCGGGTCTCCGGCATGGGAGGCGAACGCACTAACAAGGAGGCTAAAGACTGCAGCCACTAGCGTCTCTTGAGATCAGGGAGTGAGGTTTACCTGCACAGCACCTACCGCTGACCTCCGTTACATGTGCACTACATGTCATTCACTGTACAGCAAATACTACACTGTGAACAAGTGACCGATCTCAGCCGCAGCTTCAGCGTCTATTTATAGTGTAGGGGGGCAGGCGCTTCGGATTCTAGAGAGCATTTGATTGGTCAGAAGCTGAAGTACGAGGTGATGTAAAAAAAAAATCGTTGATCCGTTTTGGCGGAAGTTACGAACTGCAAGCTTTGAATGCTTATATCTTCTAAATCCAAATTGTGTCACCGTTTTGGAGCACACTGGCTTATAGATAACCTTAAGACTAACATCTTGATACTAACACCCAAAAAACTTTAATTTTGATTTCATGGGGACTTTAAGCTTTCATGCTTCAAAAAAACAAAAAAAAAGCACACCATAACATCATGAAAAAATAGCCTATACAAGTAAAATACTGTAGCTACATGTACCAAGTTTTCTGAAGTCATACCATTTTTAGCTGATTATCTACCCGGATGAAGAACAGAATCAATTTGATTTGTGAGTGCATGAATCATTTGAATGGAATCAACCCATTCATGTTGATGTGACTCAAGTGTTTCACAAATCATCTTTGCTTCTCTCAAACTGCCAAGATTTATGAAAAATGGCTTAAATCTGGTCTGTATGAACAACTTCGTGCTTCATGAAAGAAATAAAGTCATAAAGGTTTAGAATGACATGATGATGAGTAAATGATGATTTCTGAAGGATCATGTGACACTGAAGTCTGGAGTAGTGGCTGATGAAAATTCAGCTTTGCATCACAGAAATAAAATATATTCCAAAGTATACTATAATAGAAAACTATTCTTTAAATTGTAATAATATATCACAATATTACATTTTTTTCCATATCTTTAATAAAATAAATGCAGCCTTGATGAGCATAAATGATTTCTTTAAATCTTACTGATCCCAAAAGAATGACATGATGATGAGTAAATGATGATTTCTGAAGGATCATGTGACACTGAAGTCTGGAGTAGTGGCTGATGAAAATTCAGCTTTGCATCACAGAAATAAAATATATTCCAAAGTATACTATAATAGAAAACTATTCTTTAAATTGTAATAATATATCACAATATTACAGTTTTTTCCATATCTTTAATAAAATAAATGCAGCCTTGATGAGCATAAATTATTTCTTTAAATCTTACTGATCCCAAACTTTTGAATGGCAGTGTATAAAACTGTCTCTCAGCTATTAATGTTTCAATTCTCTATGGTATTTAATTACAACTATTCTTAGTTTTTACAGCAGATTTCACTTGTGATAAAAGTCAGCTGTTGATATGTGACAGTAAATATTTTCCATGTGGTTAAAGTTCAAATATACATTTTCTACTCAACTCCTAAAAGGTCTTACAGAAAGGAGCTGTGTTGTGTGTTTTCTTTTAGCTGCGGTCTCAGTCCCAGAGCGATGTGTAACTGTTTATAATTACCATGCAGCGTGGCGGCCCCCGAGCAGCCATACATCAGCTCACTAACTCAACACTGAGAGCGGCTTTTCATCGACAATCAGAATAAGGGATAAAAACAAGGTTTTAGTAATGGCTCTTTTTATCAGCCTCCTGGATCCATTCCTACACATTCCCTTTCTCACTATAGAGCCGCAGGGAAAAACCATATTGTGTTTCTGATAAAGCAATGACTTCCCTCAGCGCACAGAACATCCGGCCAGGAACTGAGGATTTACAGATCACGGAAAGGTTGTGATGTTAACTATAGACCGCAACAGAACCAGACGAGAACCAGGAAAAACTCTGGAACGAATATTCACGTTTGATTTTCGTGACCAGCCACTTCCATGAGAACATTTGAGTGACTTCTCCTTGAAATATCAAACATGGCGAGGAGACATTCCAGCTCTTGAAGCAAGAGAATAATGATTTCACTCAGACTACGACACAATGAGCTATTGTGAAGGCAAGGCCTTGTGGGATAGATCAGGGGCTACTGGGGCCCTAAACAGGGAGCGCCGATGACAGAACTGACCTCGAACTCTGGCAACCCTGATGATTAGCCAATCAGGAGGAGGAGGCTTAAACTTGAAATGAAGGCTTCTGACAGCTCTGTATACATAGATAATGTATTAAAAAAATGTTTCAAATTGTGAGGTTTTATCTGATTTTAACAGACAGACAGACAGACAGACAGATAGATAGATAATTTAACAGACAGACAGACAGATAGACAGATAGATAGATAGAAAAAAACAAAACTAAAGCTAACAAAACAAAACAAAACTGAACAAAACAGACCAAAACAAAACAAAACCCACATTTTGGGAGGTAGAAACAATGTCAAGCCCCACAGAAAGTTAAATAATAATAATAATAATAATAATAATAATAAAGCTGCTCATAAAATGTTAATGTAACTTCCTGATGTTAATGGTCAACATTTTCTAAAGGTAAAGCACCTCCATTCAATGGCTTTTTACACTGAAAAAATAAAAAAAGAAAGTCTGTCTTCTGACCTATTCTGGAAACAGTGCCACAGATATTTTCAAAAGGTCTGTGAGGGTCCATAAAGCATCGGCCCTTTCTGCTCTGTTAGCAGGGAGTGTTTCATTCAGACAGTGAGCTGGTCACTATCCAAACAGTGAGGCTTTGCTTACACCACAGATAACACCCAAAGCACTGTTTGATTAGGTGCTACGACAGCAAAGATGTCTTACTCACTATATCTTACAGTCAGGCTTAAGAAAGGCAGAGGGGAAAAGGCAGAGAGCGAGAGAAGGGAGGAGAAAAAGAGCAAGTGAAAAAGAGGAGATGGGCCATACCTGGAACTAGGCCAGAAGATGTGTGTGCGAAGAGAATGAGGCCATGAGATACAGCCAGCTCTAACACAATTAGCCAGTTCCCAAAGGAAATCCACACACACCAAAAGCAACTTCACTACATACACACACGCAAACATCACTATAACTGACAATATATGCACTATAATTGCACTGATACAGTATGTTTACCTTCTGGTATGCTATACTGTGTGTGTGTGTGTGTGTGTGTGTGTGTGTGTGTGTGTTTTCGAGGAAAGACCACCACTGCAGGATGACATTTTGCATATGAT